CCTGGGTGACTCAGTTGGTTCAGCGTCCATTTTCTGCTCAGGTCACGATCTCTTTGTTCATGAGTTCCAGCCCCACATCGGGCTCTGTGCTGGCAGCTCAGAGCCTGGAACCTGTTTGGGATTTTGTGTCTCCTTCTCTCCGCACCTCCCCCACTCATGCTTGCGCGCGCTCTCTCTCAGAAGTAAATAACATTAAAAAAATAAAAAACACAAAAACCCCCAAAATTCAACCCAGTAAATTTGAAGATCTAATTGGCTTCATTAAGAGATTGATGAATGGGGCAGCATCCCATCTAGCAAGTAGAGGAGTTGTAAGAAAAGGGAAGGTTTTTATAGGGAGAAGGTGGGGGCCAGAAAGTTATTAGCAAAGAAAAGGATTGTTCCAGATGAGATTTCTTTCCCTTAGGAGGAATAGTGACAGGTCTTATCATGCAGATGACCTCATCGTCCTCTGGGGGATGGGGAATGCCCTTCTGGCCACTCAGTGATGCAGACTCATCGGCCCCAGATGGGGAAATTTCCTGACCGACTGGTTAAGACTGCCTTTCTGGGGGAGGTTGAATCCAGAGTTGGATTAGTTATTAAACCCCAGTTTGGGACTCAGCCTAAGTGACGCCATTTTGGGCCTGTGATTTTCGTTTTAACAATGTCAGAGATTTATTTATCAATGAGGAAATCAGCAAGATGTTAAAACTGGTTCCAAGAGCATTTGGGTAACTGAAGAATGTTGGAATAAGGTTTTTTATTATACGCAAAATTTACTAATCTCCTGCAAGGCAGTAAAACCATAACCTTACCAAATTATCTGCATAATTACCAGACCAAAAAATCTAAAAGTTCGTCTCTTCTGTTACTTAATGTGAACCTTAATTGGTAGTAAATAACAAATCAAGCAAAGGTATATATGCCTTACAGAATTCCTGGGATGCTTGGGTCTCTCAGGCAGTTATGGCTAAGCCTCTGACTCTTGATTTCTGCTTAGGTTATGATCTCATGGTCTGTGAGAATGAGCCCCGCATAAGGTTCTGTGCTGACAGTGTGGAGCCTGCTTGGGATTCTCTCTCCCTCTCTCTTTACTCCCCCCTCCTTTCAAAATAAATAAACATTTAAAAATAAATTAAAAAAAAATATTCCTTGGTGCGCCTGTTACTGCTCCAAGAGCGTTGAGAGGATGTGTGCTCTTCCTTTTGTGTTATTTCCAAGCCAAGAGTAGCTGAAGGATGAGTTATTCATTGGTGTTGGGATAATTGCCTATCCATGTGGGAAACAATTAAATTTAGCTCTCACTGTATGCAAAAGATTCCAGATATACTCCTGTCATTTTCTCTCTGTATTGGAAGCATTTGTCATAAAAAAAGAAGAAAATAGGTTCTTGATGAAATATGATGTAGTGTAGGTGAGTGAATTAGGTCTACATCAAAAAATACCGTTGAATAAAAAAATCAGTTTGTAGCGTGATATACTTACTGGGATATTAGTACAAATTTTAAAATACTGTAGAGTTTCTGGGACTTCATGGACATGTATACAAAAACATAAAGGACTAGAAGGATCTAATCTAAACTTTTATACCTCTGAATATGTGAATAAAATCTAACATTATTAGTAATTAAGTTGTGCTAAATTCAAGTCTATTGTGTCTGGTGAAGACACTGTAATTGTAACTCTCAAACATGCAGCATTTACCTGGCATAGCGGGCTTGAATTTAGCAGAACTTAATAAATTTCAGTGTTTTATATATACGGTATGTCATATATTGTCAAATCACTGGGGCAAAAGATGTGGTCTTTTACAAATTATCTTGGGGGGGCGCCTGGGTGGTGCAGTCGGTTAAGCGTCCGACTTCAGCCAGGTCACGATCTCGCGGTCCGGGAGTTCGAGCCCCGCGTCAGGCTCTGGGCTGATGGCTCAGAGCCTGGAGCCTGTTTCCGATTCTGTGTCTCCCTCTCTCTCTGCCCCTCCCCCGTTCATGCTCTGTCTCTCTCTGTCCCAAAAATAAATAAACGTTGAAAAAAAAATTTAAAAATTATCTTGGGAAAAATGCCAAAGATTAAAAAATACACAGCACTCTCTTGTACTATATATTCAAATTTTGTAAGTAGATAAAAAAATTGAATATTAAAAGGTAATAGCACTGGCAAAATTATGGTATATAATGTTTATGGAGGGAGGTTGTTTCTAAGTATGCCCTCAAAATCAGAAATGTTAAAGGAAAATAATTAGTTTTCATTAAATAAAAATTTCAAAATTTGAAATTGAGGAGAATTTTATAATTAAAACTGAAGGTAAATGGTACAGTAATTTCAGAGACCATGTTTTGCTGGCCCTTATAAATAAATCTGTAATAGAACAGTTGGGCAAGAGTGGTCCAAATGGATAGATGACCTTTTGAATAGCTCTTTTTCCTTTTTGCTCCTAAGCAGAGGTAGCTGTCGCTGCCCTGGAGTCTGGTTTATGTAAGTGCTCAGTGCTTCCTCTATTCTGGTGAAATAGTCTTGTGATGGAAAATAACCAGCCTAAAGTACATTTCTTCCTAGCTGTGGTGTTTTCTTTTCTCCTACCACCCACATCCAACCACCTTTGTAAGAAGAACCTTGATTTTCCCCTAACCTGATGTATAAAATTTGGGGAACTTGATATATTCAAGACAAGATGAATGTTGAATATAAAATATTACAAGGTATTGGGAGGTCTGAAAGGTGGGCTATAATCAAACTCCACTTAACTGAGGGCATTGCACATCTTAGAATTAAAAAAAAAAAATAAAGCTTTCCTAAAAGGACAGTCAATAACCCTTTTCTCTCTAGGCTTGGGTACAGTTAAGAACGGAAGCAGGAGGCTGGTGATTCTATTACAATACGGGCGTTGGGGGCGGGGGGAGCTTATTCTTACTCCATGAAAATTTCCTTTTCTAGCATGGCCCCGCCTCCATGTGTCTGTGGTGGGAGCCCTGGGTCTATGAAATGGCCTAAGCGTCTGCCAACCAGATCAGTCTCCACCTCCTGAATGTTACTGTAGAACTCTGTGGTGTATATATAATGAGAAATGAAGCTGTTTTTAAAAAGAGGATCCCTAACAAAACACACGCTCTTTAACTCAAGAATTTATCCTCAGGAAACGATCAGGCAAGTCAGTAAAGAGCTTATTACAATATTGTTTGTAATTGCAAAACATCGGGAGCAATTTACATGCCCCCAAAATAAGGGGCGGGTAACAAATTATGTTACAGTAACTATAAGAAAAGATTCAGGATAAATTAAACATACAATGAAGGAAACTAGAATATATCACCCCAAAATATGCCTGTTTGACCTGTAAATCATTTTGAGCTGAAGGCAATCTAGAAGGAGCAAACACTGTAATAGCTCTCCCTTTTCTGCCTAAAGGCTGGAAATAAATTATCCTTTTACTGGAGAAAGACATTTGTATCTGCAAGCCTTTGAAAGTGACCCTTATCTTCCTAGTTACTTCATCGTTTTCTACCCCTACCCCAGGCCCTTTGTCTTGTCAGTTTTTCACAGATTTGAAAACTTCCTGCTGGTCTTCATTCTCCTGTGAAGGCCCTCGTGTACTTATACCAGTTCAACAAAATTTATATGCTTTTCTCCTGATAATCAGTCTTTGTCCATTTTATCTTCAGACCCAGCCAGGGACTCTAAGAGGGTCAGAGAAAAGTTTTTCCTTCCTTTCAATAATATTCCATTTATTTTTATGGAAAAAAAATTTTTAAACATTTATTCATTTTATGAGAGACAGAGAGAGACAGAGCCTGACCGGGGGGAGGGGCAGAGAGAGAGGATACAGACTCTGAAGGAGGCTCCAGGCTCTGAACTGACAGCACAGAGCCCGACATGGAGCTTGGACTCAAGGACCGTGAGATCGTGACCGTGAGATCATGAGCCGAAGTTGGACGCTTAACCAACTGAGCCACCCAGGTGCCCCTCAATAATATTCCATTTTAATAAAATATAAAAATATCTGTATAGATTTACTTGGGAAAAGTTCTGGAAGTATATTTATATACAAGATACAATGTTGTCTTGTTGTCTTTGGGTGGAGAGCTTTGGGGGAGCTGATTTTGGTTCATTTTTTGTGTGTGTGTACTAGAAAAAAAAAGTTATTTTATTGGTGCTGTGTTTCAGGAATGTTCACAATGTAACAGTAGATAGATTTTTGTTACTTGATTTTCCGAATTGATTAGAAATGGAGGTGAGATGTACTAAATAATTGGAGGGCTTATGTTGTATACTTGAATTTATGTGGTCTTTTCCTGTAAGACAAAGAAATAAAAACCTCATTCTTTTTTTATTAATAGGTTTTCTCGCACAGATATGGCAGCAAGCAGCCAACCCTTTGCATCACTTGACACAAAACAGTCCACTGGACGGCACGGATCATCTAACGTGAACAGGTGAGGAAGAGGTGCAGGTGTTTTAGGGATGTCGGCAGAGGGGTCCAAGCCGTTGGTGAATTGTAATGTTGATGTTAGAACAGGGCTTTGTGTTTTGCTGACTGATGTCCATTTGACAAAGTAGGAGGGGGAGACGGAGCTGCCAAGGGGCTCTGAAGAGGTGGCCCTGTCAAAGCAAAAGGAACACAACTAAATGACAACATTTGGGGCAGAGGTCTCTTTTGAGTCTTTTATTTAAACAAGTTTTAGATCATTAATTTCACATATAAAATAATATAACCACATTGCCAGGCATTGAAGAAAATGGAAGAAAGGAGAAACAGCCACCGTAAATATGACCTCTTAAACACAGACTGTTATTTTGGTGTATTTCATTCTAGTCTTTTTCCTCAGCATGTATCTTTTTTTTTCTTTCTTTTCTTTTCTTTTCTTTTCTTTTCTTTTCTTTTCTTTTCTTTTCTTTTCTTTTCTTTTCTTCTTTTCTGTCTAATGTTTACTTATTTATTTTGAGAGAGAGAGTGAGAGAGTGTTAGCACACACAAGTAGGGGAGGGGCAGAGGGAGAGGGGGAGAGAGAGAATCCCAAGCACGTTCCTTGCTGTCAGCACAGAGCCCAACGCAGGGGTTGAACTCACCAACTGTGAGATCATGACCTGAGCTGAAATCAGGAGTCGGAAGCTTAGCCTACTGAGCCACCCAGGCACCCCCTGGGCATATGCTTTTTGATATGGATGCAACCATAGGGTTTTCATTGAATATTGTAGTATGATTTTTTTTTCTACTTAATATTCTTGTAACCTTGGCTTAAGGAGCATTTTAAGAAATGTTGAATATAGAAAATTCAGGAAATATAGAAAAGCACAAAGGAGAAAATAAAATGTGTATTACCATCACTGTAACTTTTTTGTGTTTTGATATTACTTCTTTTTTTCTTCATATATAGAGATACTGATTTTTTATTAATTGGGATCATATTAAATATCCTATTTAGTAACCTCATTTTTTATTATTATTTTTTGCCCTGCCCCTCCACCTTTTTTTGTAGTCTGCCTTTTTTTTTTTTTTAATTTTATTTTTCCCTAATCTCTATACCCAACGTGGGGTTTGAACTCATAACCCTGAGATCTAGCGTCACACGCTTCACTGACTGAACCAGCCTGGTGACCTGCTTTTTGACAGTTAATACATCATGACATTTTCCCTGTCCATTAATATTTTTTGTAATAATTTCACATTGAATTGCTAAGTAATGTTTTCTTTTCCTGCCCATTCTCCAATTAATGTAACTAATTGTTTCTTTTTCAAAATGTATGTTGTTCCTTTATCATTTATGATCATTTATTGAGGCAACCCTGTTAAAGCTATGCTTTAGTACCACGAGAAAGTGCTTTTTATCTGTCCTTACAGGTTTATTGAACTTTAAGTTGTACAGTAGATCTTTAGCATTTCAGAGTCTGCATTTGAAATCTCAGCTATTTGTGAGTGTGTTCGTAACACTCCTGAAGTTGGCAGCCTGTCGCAAGACTCAGCTCTCACCGTACAGAGACGGGGTGCAATAATTTGAAGATTGATGAATGGAAATGAGGTTGAAAATAACTTCCGAGGATCTTTAGGCATTTATTTTTCATATTACTCTTTCATTCCATATGTCCCTGCTTATGGAAATCTGAGCTTTCTTTAGAAGTAGGAGTTTTCTCCCTCAGAGTTAACCTCTAAGTCATCTGATAGTTTCCTAGGTAACTACTGCATCAACATTTATAGGTCTTCCTTGACTTATGATGGGCTTATGTTCCAATAAACCCACTGTAAATAAAAAATCCATTTAATACACCTGTCCTGTCGAACATCATAGCTTAGTCTCGCCTACCTTAAATGTGCTCAGAACACCTACATTAGCCAGCCTGCTGCTAGAAAAGTAACTGAGGTGGGATTGTGTTTTCACGTTTGAAGACATGAATTTGGAGAGGTTGGTGGCATGGAAATTCGACTTTCAGTACTTTTAAATAAATCATCATAATGCTCATTTACTTGCCGTAATATTTTCCTGTTAAAAGTTGTTACACAAAACATTTTGGAGAGGGCTCTAATTTTAAAGAGCAAAACTTCTGTCAGTCATAAATAACGGGTAATTTTTTTTTTTTTTTTAATTTTTTTTTTTTTTTTCAACGTTTATTTATTTTTGGGACAGAGAGAACAGAGCATGAGGGGAGGGCAGAGAGAGAGAGGAGACACAGAATCGAAACAGGCTCCAGGCTCTGAGCCATCAGCCGAAACCTGGAGCGGGGCTTCGAACTCACGGACCATAGGTCGTTGACCTGGTATCGGACTGACTTAACGAGCTTCGCCGCAAGTAGCCCCTAACGGGTAATTTTTAATAAAGGGTAAAATCATAATGATTATACAAACATAAAAACGAACGCATGTTAAAGATTTTGCTTAACTCATTAATCAGTGAGGGAGCTAGGCGGATGTTATAATAGATTCAAAGGAGAAATCCAAAACAGCACAAATTTATATGGACTTAAGGAACGTTGAAATTAATGTCCGAAGTCAGCAAAACTAACTCCTTACATGAAGGAGAAAAGGTCATTGAAGCTGCCTACTGAGTTTACATGTCTGTAGACAACAGTTACTTTACATTGCTATCAGTTACTTATGATTTACAGAGTTGCGATGCAACACTAAAAAAATACTGATTAAAAAATGGTTGGAGGACCTGAATAGATATTTTTCCAAATATCTATTTGGACCCCTATGTTTATTGCAGCATTATTTACAACAGCCAAGATATGGAAGCAGCCTAAGTGTCCACAGATTAATGGATAAAGAAGGTGGTGTATATATGTACTATGGAATATTACTCAGCCATAAAAAGGTTGAGATCTTGCCATTTGCAACAACACAGATAGACCTGGAGGGTATAATGTTAAGTGCAATAAATCAGATTGAGAAAGACAAATATCATGATTTCACTCACATGTGGAGTCTAAAAAACAAGTGAACAAACAAAAAAAATGCAGATTCAGACTCATAAATATAGAAAACAAACTAATGGTTGGCTAGAGGGAAGGGGCATGGGTGAATGGGCAAAATGGGTGAAAGAGAGTGGGAGATACAGGCTTCCACTTAGGGAACAAATAAGTCATGGGCATAAAAGGCACAGCATAGGGAATATAGTTTATAATATCATAATAGCATTGTATGGTGAGAGATGGTAGCTACACTTGTGAGCAGTTAGCATAACTATAGAGAAGTTGAATCACAGTGTTGTATACCTGAAACTAATGTAACATTGTGTGTTGACTATACTCAAATTAAAAAAGAAAACACAAAGGGCCTGGGTGGTTCAGTCCGTTAAGCATCCGACTTAGTCTTAGGTCATGATCTCGTGGTTTGTGGGTTCGAGCCCCACATCCGGCTCTTTGGTGACAGCTTGGAGCTTGGAGCCTGGTTCGGATTGTGTTTCCCTCTCTCTGTGCCCCTCCCCTGCTTGCGTGCATGCACTCGTTCTCTCTCTCTCTCTCTCTCTCTCTCTCTCTCTCTCTCTCTCTCTCAGAAATAAAATAAACATTGAAAAAAAAACTAAAAAAGAAAACACAATGTGCAGAGTTGCAAGACAGTTCCTGTAGAATCAAAAGCAATCTGAAGGAGTCTCTTCTACAGTCTAGATGATAATCAGCTTTCCACTGAAGCACATTTTTCCCCCTGCGTAATCAAACTAAAACATAATAACTTTCCCTGTCCTATAAATCAAGGTAGTTCCCACCCTTGTGGTCTTTGTGAGGGCTATCAGCCTTATTTGTTGATTTATTCCATCCTCATGACATTTTCACGAAGGTGGTGGTATTCCCATTTTACAGATAAGAAAGGCTTTAGAAGGTTTCAGAAGGGTTAGAATCCCAGTCTTTCTTTCTCCAAAGGGTACATACACACACACACACACACACACACACACACACACACACACACACCCGCAACAACTTCTAATAGTAAAAGCTATTAAAATGCTATGTATTTTTTTCTTGATCCTTAGGTCAACATCAGTGAAGGTGGATCTCAAGTGTGGCCTAGAAGAATGTTCAGTGGCATTGAACTTATTTCTGAGTAACAAATTCACGGATGCCTTAGAGTTGCTTCGACCATGGTAATTAACTTAATTTCTTTTAGATAAAATACATTTTTACAGACGTTTCTGATGAGTCTTTGATATATTGCTTGTCAGTCAGCATATCTGCATTGCCGCCTGAATATTTCTAAGCTAATTTGGTTGAGACGCCTTACTTTTGGTCAGTTTTAATACCCAGTTAAAAAAAAAATCTGTTTTTTTTCCAAATTTAATCAGTAGAAAGTTTCTGATTCTCATATTTTAATTTCTATATGTGTTCAAATATTGTCGTCTCATATAGTTTTGTGGAGTTTCATTTTGCTCTTTCCAGTGAGATACTTTAATGGATATGCCTCTAAAGCTTAAATACCTTTGACAGAAGTTCCCTTTGAAATGGGGATGGGAAGAATTAGAATATACTAATCTCAAATGTTAAAAAGAACTTTTCTTTAAAAGAAATTTAAGATAATAAAAAATGTTATTGGGACTCCCTGTTTATGTGATAAATAAGTTAAGCAGTTTAATTTCAGTTGATAATACCTGTTAATTGTTCAAATGTGGCAGCAAACCTGTGCTTAGCCCGTTTACTAGGTGTCACCTTGAGCACTGTCCCCAACTCCACAGTGTGACTGTAGCTGGACAGGAGTAATCATACCTTGTGCCTTCAAACGCAACACTTAACTTGGATGAAACTTAGACCTGCTAATAACAGTTTTCTAGAAGGTTGCTCGGGTACAACAGCGGAAATCTCCTTTCTTTGGTCGGTAGAGTAATGTGAATCTGATCATGGACTTTCAGTCCTCCTACGCTCATTATGGTGAGTGTTGCATAATGTATAGAATTGCCGAATCGCTATATTGCACACCTAAAACTAAAATGACATTGTATGTCACTACCTACTTCAATAAAGAAAATGAAATTACCTCCCGAGAAGCTGGTGTGGTAGTTCTATTAAGATGTAGAAGAGCTGTGATCACATAGTATTTCAGGGGTTAGGACAAGAGGATAAGAGATGATACAGCCCGAGAAAATGGCCCCGTGTTGTCTCCAACACTGTCCACCCTGCCTGTCTCCTGCCTCGTTTCCCTCTGTCCTTCCCAGACCCTCAGACTTCTTTCTCTGTCCATCTTCTGTCTCTGCTTCCTGGTCTTCCTCCTCTTTGCCTGCCTACCTTTTTCTGTTTGTCTCTCCTCTCTCAGCCTGCCTGCCTGCCTGTCTCCTTCACTTTTTATTCACACAAGACCCCACTCTCCTCTGCCTCAGACACCCCAGCTGGTGGTAACATGGAATGACAAGAAGTGATTGAGTGTTTTATTTAGTCAAGATTCTCTCATCTTGATGCATGTTTCACTGTTAAACATAGGTTTTCCCACTGCATACTTTTTTTTTCCCCTCTTGGAGCTTTTGGTTTAAAATGTGAGGTTTAAGACCACAATAAATGATTAACTTTGGGCTGCTGTTACTCTTTGTGGTCTTTTGAACAGCCAGTGACCTTGCTATTCAGGACAAACTGCAAATTACCGAAGGATGTTTAGAGTATTTCCATGAGGGAAAAGAAGAATGTGGCTTGCGTTTATTTTGCATAGCAGCGGGCTGTGGTGGATGATATTTGAATTAAAAACAAAACTGCGCATTAATATTTCAAGTCTTGTAAATAACTAATTGAGTCTTGTAAATAACACGATGAGAAGTTTTGAGAAAAGAGATGGTAAGGTTTTCACAGTCTGAGAGTCTGGGATGTGTCATACCTTAAGACTAATTAATGCTCGTAAGAGTCTAAGCAGTTCTTCCTGATAATTTAGTAATTTGAATTATCAAGAACTTTATTCAGGAACTGTGGATAATGGGATTAGATTACATACGAAGTCTGGAATGTACTTTCGTCTGGGCCCTTTGTGGCCAACCTAATTTATTGCAAAAGTCTTGCTTCCCTTTGGCCTCCAGCTGGGAGTGGAGATGAACCGGTTTTAAAAATGGGTCTTTATCTTTCAAAAAATATATCAGAATCTCTCTGTCACAAAATACATTTCCAGTGGCCTGTATTTTAGTACTTCTATCAACACTAAAGATAGGAAGTAGATTCCCGGTGTTTGGGAAAAATTGATTTGCTTTGAAATGTTTTCTACTAAAAGAGTCCGCAGGCTGCCCCCTTGTGCTGAAATGGGGAAAAACAATTGTCAGCTTCTGCTTCAGCCTGGAACATTCAGTGCTGCCTGCATGGGCGTAATTTGGAAAGTCCTTGATACTTGAGTTTTTTTTTTTTTTTTGGGGGGGGGACGTGTCTTTCACAGTCTATATTATTTCAGTGATTATGGTGAAGGAGTAAAATTTATCGCTATACAAGTCATGATATGTTTTTACTAGGATTTCTTCTGGTCAGTATCAGACAAGACCTGAATGCTCTTAAACTGCATTGAAACGTATTAATTCCTTTTTTTTTTTTGCCCCCCAGGGCTAAGGAGAGTATGTACCATGCCTTGGGCTACAGTACTATTGTGGTGTTGCAGGCCGTCCTGACCTTCGAGCAACAGGACATCCAAAATGGCATTTCTGCCATGAAGGATGCATTACAGACCTGCCAAAAGTATGAACTGAGTAATTAAATACTTGAGATGCAACTACAAACCTTTATGTCTGTGTGACAGAGTGAGCGTGGTTTGCCTGATGGAAAGCTCTGTTTGAAGTTGGCCACAATTGTAGAAGGGACTTGTACTTCCAAGCCTCTTGGCCTCACATAGTTGTATCTAATAGAGTTGAAAGTTCCTGTTGGGAATTATAGAAGATTCTTGTTTGGCCAAGCAGTTGGCATCTGTGCCTCCACGGGTTTTTCCCTCCCCCCCCTTTTTTTTTTCCCATTGGTAACTTCAGTCACAGCAAGCATCTCCCAAGGGTCTCCGTGGCGCAGATGAATTCAGCTCCTGCCTGCCAAGCCAGGCCAAGCAAGGAACTCTCTTTTTTTATATGGGCGGATGCTGCCTGTTCGGAAGGGAGAGTTTTATTTGTCTAAAAGGACATATCTGGACACTTCTGGTTGGTGAAGATGAGATGGATTTTCAGTTTTATTTTAATCTTTGCTCTGTGTGTATAGCAAGACCCCAGCAACAGCTGTTAACCAGCACTGGTGACACTTAATGTGAAACTATATCCTCATGGAATTATGTTGCAACCCTGCAAATGAAGAGTTTCCCAATATCACACTCTAAGTCGATTCTTAACCTGTGGGTGCCTCTTACCAGAGAAATACTGATTTCAGCATCGTACAGGTGCTTGGCAGGGCTAGTGTTCATTGTGTTGTGTGAGTTTGTCCACTCACGTGTCCAGTAAGTGTGGATGGAGTGCCCACAGGAGATCGGCTCAGGGCTGGGTGCCGGGTACACAGTGTTGAAAAGGGTGCTCTCTGCCCTTTAGGGTTTAGAGTTTGAGGTTTGCAGTTCCTCCTTGGTAACTCTTTGGTATGACTGAGACTGAAATGAATGTCCAATGAAAGTGAACTCGGCCTGATTTATTATTATTTTTTTCTTTCTATTTCCCACCGCCCTTCTACTTTTTCTCCACAGATACAGGAAAAAATGCACAGTTGTGGAATCGTTCTCAAGTCTTCTTTCTAGGGGCTCATTGGAGCAGCTGACTGAAGGTGAGACTCATTTAAAAGATTAATGTTTCCCTGTCTTGGGAAGGTTAAAACGTGATCATACTCCTAAAATTCAATACTTAAGCATATAATGTAAAGTAAATGGGGTATCTTTTTCTCTTTCCCACCATAACTCACCCTGCAGGGGTGACCACTGTTAATAGTTGGGTTAATGGCTCAAGATTACCCACCTAGCGGAGCAAGGTTCCATCTGCCTTTCTGTAAGCCACAGCTCTTTCCGTTGTACCTCACACATTTTCTTGTAGGCTTGTAGTAAAGGGAACAGAGTGTTCATGTATGGCTGAAAGAGACATCTTGAAAATAGATGCTGCTGCGTTCTTACCTTTTTATAATGTCTTTGACATGACACTTTAGAAAATCTGGAATAAGGTAGGAGGTTACTTCTTCCTAATTATTAAAAAAATAAAACAAACGAGAAGATGCTACTATATACCTGTTAGAATGTCCATAATCTGAAACATCAAAAACACCATGGTTGATGAGAATGCAAAATTGTATAGCTACTTTAGGGGAGACAGTTTGGCAATTTCTTACAAAACTATACATGCTTTGTTTGGCCTTACAAACCAGTAATCAGTCTCCTCAATATTTACACAACGGAGCTGAAGACTTAGGACCAGCACAAAAATCTGCACGTAGATGTTTACAGCAGCTTTATTTGTAATTTGCCAAAACTTGTCAGCAACCAAGATGTCTTTCAGTAGGTGAATGGCTAAATAAACTGTGGTGCATGTAGACAAATGGACGATTAATTAGTGCTAAAAAGAAATGAGCTATCAAGCCACAGAAAGACATAGAGCAACTTTAAATGCGTATTACTAAGTGAAAGACGCCGATCTGAAAGGGCTACGTGCTAGATGATTGCGAGCATATAACATTCTAGAAAAGGCAAAACTGTAGAGACAGTGAAAAGATCAGTGGTTGCCTGGGGATGGGGTGTAGGGATGAATAGGTAGATGGAGCACAGAGGATTTTTAGGGTAGTGAAAAAACTTTGTATGATATCATGATGATGGCTACGTGTCTTTATACATTTGTCCAAACCCATAGAATGTACAACACCAAGAATGAGCTCTAATGTAAACTGTGGACTTTGGGTAGTTATGATGTGTGAATGGAGGTTCATCAATCGTACCACTCTGGTGGGGGATGTTGATAACGGGGGAGGTAATGCATGCATGGGGCAAGGGATACATGAGAAATTTCTGTACCTTCCCTTCAGTTTTTCTATGAATCTAACACTGCTTTAAAGAATAAAGTCTTAATTAGAAAATAATAAAAATAAATGAGCTTGTGACTATAGCATATTCTGAAAAACAGGTTAATTTAGACTTTTACATCCAAAGCCATGCTTAATTAACATTTTAATGCAGGCTGAAGATATTTCCTTCAGTAGACTAAGGAGTTTATGATTCAGAGATGTTCTGGTAAGGTACCTACTCATAAATGCCAAATGGCTAATTTTGAGAACTGAGGAATATAAATCAAACAGAGTGAAGGAACAAGACTTTTATAAATTAAGTTGCATTTTATTCCTAATGAGTTTGGCTGTCACTGCAACCCAAACAGACTTTGTGTTCAAGGAGGCATGTCAAAACATTGTAGCTTTAGTATGTGATTTGTTTTTCCTCTTGGTAATTTTCATTTACATCCTTCAGTGGCTGGTTGTCTGCAGGAGTGAGTATATTTAATTAAACTTTTCGTGGGTTTAACATGGAACACACCCATTCTTCTCTCGTGCCTGGCGTATTGCCCTGAATGTTTTTCAGATTTCCTTTGAAAATAGATATGTATATGCAGTACTTAGGATGGGAAAGGGATTTAACATGAAGGATACTTCCGTATAGTCTACAGAGTTCAAATTTTCTTGACCTTTCAGCTCTGTCTTCTCATTATGTCCTTGAGCTGCTCTTAGATTTGTCCATTTTTAACTTAACCCTGATACGTCTAATCCTTTGGATGCTCATACCTCTGCACGGACTCAGCGTTGCCTACTGAATCAAGCCCAGCCTCTGACGCTTAAGGTTGTCCATAATTCAGCCCTGACTTACCTTTCCGGACTCATTTCACACTCCTGCCTTTACACACCTTGTGCTCTCACAGGGCCTTCCCCGCACATGCCCAAGCCAGCAATCTGGGGTACTGAGTAGGCTTTCAAAGTGGGAAACTCCAAACTGTTCCCACTTTGTTACAAATGTACATAGAAAGAAGAGGAAATTCAGGTGACTGTAAAAATCGAAGACTGCTTTTATTCCTCTGAACGCTGAGTAAATCCAGAGGGCCAAGGGTAGTAATCGTAGCGAAAGTAGCAAACAAAAATGGAGCGCTTACTCTGAATAGTGAGCTCTGCTTGCAGCACCTCGCTTGATTCTTCAGCTGTGAAGTAGAGACATTATGAGCTGGACTTTATAAATGAGGTAATGGACGGGGCGGTGGGCGGGATGACCAGCAGAGAGAGGAGGGATGACCCGAGGGAGAGGTGAGCTGACCGCAGATGAGGAGGGATGACCGGCAGGGAGAGGAAGGATGACCGGCAGGGAGAGGAGGGATGACCACCAGGAAGAGGAGGGATACCTAGTACACGGCAGAACCTTTCCCCTAGCCCAGGCTGTTAAATACGCCAAGCTCGTTTCCTTAAGTAAAATGCCAATTTGCATCCCATGGATAAAACAGGAAGCTGCTGATTTTGTTTACCCAAAAACGCAAAGGTTTCTCTCCTACCCTAATCTCTGCAAGTACAAGGTATTGTTTAGGAAGATGGGCCATGTGTTTTGGGGCACTCCATCTGTCCCTGGGATATACATAGCTTTACACCGTCCTTTTTGTGAGTGCCTTGTTCCTGTGCTAGATCTCTCCATGATCAAAATAGCCTGACGTGGTGCTGATGCTGACTCTTTTTATATCACGTCATGACTTGGCACTCAGGGCCGTACTTTTTTGCAGAACTCCAGAGAATTGCGTTCTCTCTTTAAGGTAATAATGTGTCTGATCATCACCATGACTATCATACCTTCGTATTTTGGAAGCTAGGATTCACAAACAGAAGATTGTTTTTTCAGTCTTTATAACTGTGTTAAACTTACATGTTAGTGTTAAATAATTTTCTTTTTAAGTGCTTTTAAATTTTGGTTTCTTGTTGTGAGCTGAGTTTGGGGCTCTGGCACCAAGTGCCTGACTCGTTGGAGTTCTATTTGAATGGGGCCAAAGATGACTTCCTTAAATCATTTTACACATTCTAGAAAAATCTTGCTGAGGGTCTGAGAACTGAGGTCATCATCCTCCTTTTGTGGAAGTACCAGAACAAGCTAGATTTTTGTGTCTCCCTTGGGTTCATTGATCTATCAGTCTTTTCTGAAATCTCAGAGCAATGACTGTGGACATAGGATTTTCCTTAATATAATTTTATTTGTTTTTAATAGAGGAAATGCATGCCGAAATCTGTTATGCCGAGTGTCTCCTACAGAAAGCAGCACTCACGTTTGTGCAGGTAATGAATGTTTGGCTTAGAATAAGTATTTCTGGGGAAGCCTGCCAGCACTACGTAGAAAAAAATGTGGCTCATTCTATGTCAGTGCTTCAGTTCTTTTGACTCAGAGCTGTAACAGAAGATACTTGCCGTTCTGATAAACTTGGGCTGAAAAAAGACCCCAGGGAGCTTTGTTCCTACACAAATGCCCTTAGAGTCTGTTTTGAATTTCAGTCTGTTGGGAACCACTGCCTTGTAAAGAAACTGTTTTGCAACCACCACACCTACTTTCTGGATGCTTCTCTAGATGAGAAGCGTGAGATTATCCGTCTTTGCTTTTCCTAATGGTGAGGGCTACACGGGGGATGGCCTGGGCAGAAGACACATCTTCATCCTTGGCCATTCCCTTCTTTACACCAGCTGCTTGAGCAAAGCTCAGGTATGCATGCGTTGAGCGCTAGGCTTTTCATATATAACTTTGGATTTTATTTTTCCCCTTTCTATTCTCATTCCCCTTTCTTACTTTTATTTCTTCCTATGGAAGAGTAGATTTAAAAAGTTCTAAACCTAACAATGAATACCTTTCTTTTGGGACATTTTAATTTTATCTCTAAGAACTGTTAGGGCCAGTACCTTGCCTAACATTTTATTTTCCACCACTTGGATTTTAACCTCATGGCCCCATGGGTGGCAGTGATGGATATAGTGGGGTAGAGGTGGGGTCAACATTGTAAGGGGGAAGAAATGCAATTGTAAAATTGAAAATCTTACTCAATTACAATGTTTTACATTGTATTAAGAGTTGCTTTTCTTTTTTCTTCCTTTCCCTCCCCTTCCCTCCCCTCCCCTCCCTCTTCCCTTTCCCTTCCCTTCCCTTTCCCTTCCCTTTCTCTTCCCTTCCCTTCCCTTCCC